GGGCACCCCGGCGCGAGTGGCCTCATCCCCGCCACGCTCCCCGACTCGGCCCCTCTTGCCATGTCCTTGCAGCAAACAGGAGCGACCCTGTGTTCGAGACCCTGCGCACGGGTGTCATCATGGCCAACAAAGAGCGCAAGAAAGGGCAAGATGACAAGAAAAACGTGAGTGTAGGCACAGGGCCTCGCTGCCGGTGCCCACCCCAGCCTCCTGACCGTGCTCTGCCCAGCAGCCGCTGGCCGCAATGATGGACGAGGAGCCCGAGGCCGCCAAGGCGGATGGGAGCAAGGCCGAGGGCGGTGAGTGCTGCAGGCCTGGGAGACGCGGCAGCCACAGGCCACACGCCAGGTCTTGTCCCCGAGCTGGGCCCCAGGGTGCCGCGAGGGGCAGCTGGTGCCATGGGGGGCACGAAGGGACCCTTCCTGCCCCCATTCCAGGCACCGCCGAAGGCGACAAGAAGGCCGAGAAGAACACGGCAGAGGACAAGGTACCTTCCCTACCCCCTGCCCACCCACGGGCCCTGCGCAGGCGGCTGGCAACTGCCCTGGGTGCCCCTGGCTCTAAGCCTCCTCTCTGCCCCCCAGAGCAAGAAGCTGCAGCCAGGGCTGCGCGGCGGCTACCCGCAGTCTCACTATTTCGTGGCACTTTATCGCTTCAAAGCCCTGGAGAAAGACGACCTGGACTTCCCGTGAGTGCCAGGCAGGAGACGGGCAGGAATTCCAGGGATCGGGATGGGGGTGGGAAGGAGCCTTCAATCCGGAGGCTGCTGCAAACCAGCAAGGGCAGGAGTCAGAACTGGGCTGGCCACGGTCTGGGCTTGGCGCCTGCCGCCCTCATAGAGGTCCAAGCGGGGACCGAGCCCCAGCCCCTGCGTGAGCCCCCCGCAGGCAGGGGGGATCTTTCCTTGCCCATCTCTGAGTGTCCCCCGCTGATGTTCCCCTCCCTCCGCAGGCCTGGGGAGAAGATCACAGTGGTGGACGACTCTAACGAGGAGTGGTGGCGGGTGAGGCGGCCACGCGGCTGGCACAGCCCCGCTCTGCCCCGCGGGACCGGGGGGCTCACAGGTCGCTCCCTTCCTCCGCCACCGACTTCTCGCAGGGCAAGATTGGTGAGAAAATTGGCTACTTCCCGCCGAACTTCATCATCCGCGTGCGGGCGGGCGAACGGGTGCACAAGGTGACGCGCTCCTTCGTTGGCAACAAGGAGATCGGGCAGATCACGCTCAAGAAGGACCAGGTGAGGTGACGCAGAGGGCCCCGCGAGCACGGGGCTGCGCCGGGCTGCCCTCACCCCCGTCCTCCACCAGATTGTGGTGCAGAAGGGCGAGGAGGTGAACGGCTACGTCAAGGTCTACACGGGCCGCAAAGTGGGGCTCTTCCCCGTGGACTTCCTGCAGGAGATCTGAGCACAGCCGCCGGGGCCCGTCGCCCACCGGGCCCCTCTGCGCCCCGCTCCGCCCCAGGGCCGCTGCGCGGGGGCACCAGGGTGGCGCCTGGCGCGGAGCCCCGTGGGCCCCGAATAGGGCGCCCGGGTGACAGCTGCAGCGGTGCCCGC